CACCACGCTCATTTTAATGAATTTAAATTAAAGTAATCTAAGTTTATACTTTGAAAAGGCCGCCATAGGGACCATCTAGTACTAAAAAAAGGCCGCCATAGATAACAAAATATTAAGTGTTAGTATTTTATATAAATTATGTATCTATGTTCTATCTTAAAGGACTTTATTTTATCTAATAAGTATATATCATGAGGGTGGTTAGCATGCAGGGTGATTCCTGCTTCCACTCTAGTGCAGGTTTTGTTTGACCCAGGTTAAAACCTGTATTGGCTGAAAAACTCAGTGTGTTATATTTATCTCATGGTTGACATACCTTGATTTCTATAATGATATATATCTCCTTTTATTTATTCGAGGCAAGCCGACCGGGGGACGGACATTACCGAAATAGAGAAGGAAAGTATCGACATGAAACCTGAGCAGGGTCAACTCTGTCGTAGAAAGTTTTTTCACCTCCGGATCGGGACTCGGATTTTTCTGGTTACGTCATGGGTAAGGTTTTCGTGTTATTATACCTACTAACCGCCAATAGTTTCCTTCGGCTGGCACCCCGATCGATGTGCGAAGGGCGGGAATCGAACCCGCAACCTTCAGGTTGGTAGCCGTACGCCCTTACCGACGCGCCTTCCACCCCCTATGATATATATCTCCTTATGCACATGAAAACATAAAATCATAATATATAATGTATGATCAAGCTACAATGTTTAAGTTTCAATTAACTTTGCATACTTTCTCATCTCAGATTTTTATAATTTTTTTCTTACAACATAAAACAATCTTTATACCATCATATGACAGCTTTTCGCCATATAGACGTATTAAAGGAAAGCATATAATATTGTAGTGTGTCCTTTTTTAGTATAAGTGAATTTATACAGTACCAATCAATATCTTTATTCATAATCTTTCCCATATACAGGCCATCATATACATATTACCCTAGCCATGATTACTCTATAATACTAAGGATTCACCACAGCCTTTTTGAAAATGTATAAGCTTAAGAAGTTTTTAAAATACACTTCTACCACTCTTTATAATATTCTCTTTTGTACATTTCTATCTTGGAAAAGTTCACATACTATGTTATATAAATCTACTAAAATTTCTTTTATTGAAATCATCTGTCTTTTAGATATCAAATATTCATATGAAATACTTTTCAATATGTCCTAAGCATTATATAATCATAAATAAAAAAATCTTTTTCGTTTTAATTATGTAGTTTTAGACAATGCACCCAAGGTATATAAGTAATATAAAAATAAACTGTATGAGCAAAAAATCAGAGACCCTTTATTATAATATTAAGTAAATTGTGGTTGATTAAATATAATAGTACAATTGCTTTAAATTATAAAATTATACTATCTGTATTTAATTGATATTATAAAATTATTTTTCTTGAAAAAAAGTCTTGAATATTCTAGGGTATTCTTTCAAGATTGTATTTAAGAAATAACATAATATCTATCTATACACTAGTATAGTTTAGAGCTACTATAAATTACAAGTGGTATTATAGCCTAATTAAAAATGCAAAAAATATTATCTACATGATTATGTGGCAAGTTATATGGTTATTTGTCTGTATCATCGGTTTTTTATCAGTTAAACACTTCATTTCTGGTTTTATGAGTCTATTTTATAAGATTAAGAAGAGACAGTTTATTAGGGGCTATAAAATATTAAAATTTTGTGTTATCAGAATAGATGCAAGTATAAGAAATATTATTTGATTTGATTTTAAAAAATTAATAAGCTTCCTAGTAGTACTCAAATATATTGAGGTAATCAAATTTCTTTAGATTAGTGATTCTATAAAATCATTTTTTACTTAAACAAATCTTTCATAGATAAGTAGTAATATATATTATTGTGATTACTGACCTCAATGTAATCTATACATGTAAAACTACATGATGATCACTAAAATTACAATGTTCCTTATCTTATAGGATCATATAAGAAATTATCTTTATGAATTTTTACTTATGTACATAAAGTATAGGAAATAGTTTATTATTTATTAAAAAACTAGAATAATTAAAACATATATATCTAATAACTTTTGAGAATATGGTATAGTAAGCATATAACTAGAAAAATTGGTGTTTAAAATCTTTTGACAACACATAAGGTGGTATAATATAAAGTTTTATTGCCACAATGCTATTATTGTTACTTACTTATATATGAATGCTATACATTGATTATAAGTTTGTTTATCAGAAAGATAAGTCACCTTTATAGTGAGTGCAAGATATGTAGCTACAAAGTATAAAGTATAAAGACATCACTTTATATTATATTGTAGCTTATAAAATGGTTTAGGATACTTATTATTTTTAGCTGTCTTAACTTATAAGTATGATATAATAAAACATTATATCATATTATTAAATTAAGTATAATCTCATTTTTGGTCTGAGTATAGTGGTCTATAAAAGTACACCTTTTTATGTGATACCATTAAGTGGTTTATAGAAAATATATAGCTTATTAGAAAGCATAAATCTCTTAAATACTTTTATCATATCTTTTTTATTAAATTAATTTGAGGTATGCCAACCAGGGGATGTACATTACCAAAGCTTGAGACCAAAAGAAAACACCTAACAAAGCAAACTGAATTGCCCAAAATGAACAGAAAAACACATAAAAAAGAGAACACAACCATACCAGATGGTACAGTAAAGAATTGCTTATACCAATATAGTGGAAAGGTAGAGGGATTGAGTCATAAATATTCATCAGCAGAATTCTCTTCCAAGATCAGAGCATGTCTAAGGCTGAGAGTAAGGGCATAGGAGCATTTTCAGTATGTGTTCAAGGGTGCTGACTATTGGATACTCAAAAAAATTTCTGTCTTTCAAAAGTGCGCTGAGATAAAGGGCAAAAAATTGCTCATGTGAATGCAGACAGCGAGGAGTTGGGTAAATAGTGCAATATTGATGTAAGTAAGTTTTGATTTCGATTTTACACAACCATAGAAGCTTGCTGGATTTTGCCATTGGCTCATTTATAAAAATTGAGAATGTTGTGCTTTTCCAGAGGAAAATGGTTATGAGATAATATGAGGAGGGATATCTTTTGCAAGCATTGCCATTGACTTGATGACAGCTTTGAAGATGGGATAATAATCAGGCGTGGCAATTGCTTTAACAGCAAGCTGATGGTCACTATAGAATATATTGGTGTTCATCTGCAGAAAATAAAAAAGAGGGTGGGTCTGAGTGTCTCATTCTATATTAATGAATTGCTCAATATAAACAACAGTTTCTTCAATAAGTTTACCTGATTCATTGACTTCAGACAATAAGCCCCAAGGGTTCTGGTTGAAGTTGATTGGGGCTAACACTAGGCTTGGATGTAGCTGGCAATTGGGAGGAAGTATGGGATCAAACTGTTATCTAAGGTGTTTTGTAATTAATATGAGCATTTGTGGCACTGGGCTGAGGAGGGACCTAACTAGTTTCTGTAGGCCTCATATATTTTTACCAAATATATTTTCTTTAATTAATTATGAATTTGAGACTGCATGAAGATCTTGTATATTAATAAAATATAGCTATTATAGCATACAGGTAACTAATTTTTATGTTCAATCAGTACTTGATACACTATATTATATTTTTAAAATATAAATTTTTAAATATAAATTTTATTTGAGGTGGGCTGACCTGGGGGATGATACCGCACCAATGAGAGGAAGTGAAGAAAATGAGAAAGGAGGATAAAACCTGGAAAACCTCCATGCATGTTGTATGATAGGCCAGGAACTCCATGGATCACCTTTGCTATTCGCTATCTCAGTTCAGGGCATTGGTGTGCAACGCCAACACAGTCATAATCATCCCCTACCCAAAGTTCACTACCAGTATTGAACTTGGGGAGGCAGTGGCAGAGGGTCATACTCTACCACTGGGGTAACCTCCTCTACTATTTTATATTTTTGTCATATCCATTTATGTTGATAATATTGATCTTTTCTGAGTTTTAAACTGCTGTACCAGAACAACACATAATTAAGTAGGTTGGGACCACCTAGTGCTAAAAAAAGAACAACACATAATTAAATAGACACTTTAAGATCAATATAAAATTATAGAACTATATTAGCTAGCTTTAAAAAAGAATACTTTGGTGATACTATAAAGAAATATAATATTATAGAAAAAAATAATAAAAGAAAGGGTGGTTAGCTGAGCGGGTAAGACTGCTTCCACCCCTAGTGCAGGTTTTGAGTTTGAAACCTGTACTGGCTAGAAAACATTCTCAGTGTGGCATAATTGTCCCAAGGTTGACCCACCTCAAATAATTTAAAAAATAATAAAAGATTTGGGTTTTTATAATTTGCAAAAATAGTGGATAGAAAATACATTAAAAACATTATTTAAAAAATGATTTAGAGCTCTTACCTTATGGTAAAAAGCTTAAGTGCATGATACATGTCTTTCACCCACCAGGTAAGTGTACCATTATTATGGGTAATGACTAACTGATTGTTCATACTGTGCTAATGTTGTGCCTTTCTAGAAAGTAAAATACATTATCATGCACTTAAGATTTTGAATTTGGTAAAGAATACTTTATCTTTTTCAGATATTATGAGGGTGTTAAGTAATAAAGTAACTAATAAAAATCTATAATAAAATTACTGATCGTCATCTACAATAAATCATTTAGTATCTAGTTGATTTAATTGGCCAATCTATAATAAAAATTACTGATCACCATCTACAATAATTCAATTTAAATCTATTAAATCTAGTCAATTTTATTGGTCAACCTATGCAAAAACAATCCACACCCATAATCATTTAAGCTCATCAGGTATGATCTCATACTTTGAACTTACCCCCAGCCATAGGACATATATCATGTCAAAAACCTATTAAATATTTTAAGTCAAAGATGCTTTTGTTCAGGATTGAACTGAAGAACTTCTGCTTGTAAGGCAGATGTGATAACCAACTACACCATGAAAGCAACGCTCATGGCTGGTATCAAACTAGCAGCCTCAAGATTAACAGTCTTATGCGCTAGCTAATTGCGCCACATTAGCTTATTTTTTATAAAAATATAAAAAATTTAAAAAGATTTCTACTAAGTGTACACCCATGTGTAGTTATGCACACCTATAACCACAAGCTAAGGTAGGTAAATAGCACAAAAATTTAAGATCCTTTCTGTTATGAAATAAATTTGCTTATCTCTTCCCTCTTATCATTATCTAACTAGTGATATGGAGCTTTAAAAATGGCAATTTAGGTTTTGTCATGTGGAATATGTCTGCTAATACTATATCTTTTTTTAATTTATAATTGTAAAACTACAAAGTGTATAATGTGGGTGTAGTTGCGCACACCTATAATTAAAAGATAAGGTGTGGTACTAGATTTCATAACATACTCAAAACTAGTCCTAATTGTGATAAAACATTGTTTCCTCCCTCCCATATTACTATTATTTAATTAATAATATGCAGTATAAAAAAGAAAGATTGAGGTCGTTACCAGGTGGATTGTTCCTACTAATACTAAATCTTTATTATTAAGAATTATAAGTGCAAATTGGACAAGTAAAACCACCCATATAAGGTATATGGCGTTAATTTTTAAAACCCTATAAACTTTATAAATAAAAATAAAATATTTTAAATAGCCTTTTTTGCTTTTATAAGATTCACACCATGGGTTTATATTTAGTTAAGAACGATCTAAAATCAGCATACACACTCAGTTAGATCTAGACAATATCATTGTTATTACTGATAATGTTGCTGGTTAATTTTTTATATAGAGAATATCATATGTTTAACTTTTACCAAGAAGAAAGGCCTTCTGGTCTCCTTGTCCTGAATAAAATGAAATAAAATTATTTTTGTATATGCTAATAGCAAGTATAGCTACTAGGAATTAATTGTATAGCTAATTAATTTTTTTAGTACTAGATGGTCCCAACCTGAGGGGGGATTCATCAATGTTTATTGAATTACGTCTGGGCTCCTAAGAGCCTGAGGAGAGGGAAGGGGAGGGAGGAGGCATCGAGAAAGGGAGGGGTTTGCGCGCCAGAGCCTTGCTGCAGTGACAACTGAGCGGGGGAGGGTTGGCGACATAGTGCAGACCTTCAGGGCCATCTTAAAGTGTACCTGAAAGTGGGTGATCATGTGTGGAAGGGTCCACACCTGCTGGTCAAAGGCATCATGAAGGAAGGAGTTATGGATGGTCCAGATGACTGTGGCATAGGTGAGGACACGGAGGGGTCAGTGGCAACCAGGCAATGTCTGCTCAAACATGAGGTCTTGCACAGGGTGTCCAGACCAGGGCTGAGCATGGAGGAGCGCGCGGGCCTTTGGCCAAAATGTGGCGACACCTGGACAGGTGAAAAAACGATGGAGGTGGGAGTCAATAGGCTCCACACAGCGGGGGCAGCTTTGGTGCTGGAAGGTAGGGCCAGTCTGGTCCCCTGTCCTGTATGAACAGTGGAGCACCCTCCATAAGGTGTTGGACACCTTTGCTGACAGGATGGGGTGATAGACGTCCTTCCACAATTCCTTAAGGTCAAATCTCACAGAGGGAGGGAGGAGCTCAAGGAGTCTTAGGCGGATGGGAGGACGATCTTGGGGGTTGAGGTGAGTTGTGACAACGTGTCCATTGTGCACAATTGCATGGCGATGGGGGCTGAGGCCAGGGCCTTCCCTTCTGTATGGGAAAGCATGGTGGATCCGCGCGCCTACTCGTTTCAGGGCAAGGAGAGCCTGGTTCCAGTAGGGGGATGAGGATGGTTTTAGGCGATGGCCTGGGTGGTTTGTGAGCCACTCCCCTAATGAGGTCAGAGATGCTCTAGGAAGATCCAGAGCTGCTGACACTGACTGGCGGAGGGTGGGCGCCCATTGGGGCATGGGGGTCGCGTCCCAGCAGACAATCGGCCATAGGAACTTAAGGAAGATTGTGGTGGCATGGGATCGCGTGTCCAGAAGCCCTAGGCCCCCTTCATTGTAGGGTCGGGCAATGGTTGAGAGGGCCATTGGTGGATGGTTTGAGCCCCAGATCCAACAGCGGATGAGTACATTGAGCCTCGTATAAAAGGCATCTATGAATGGGCAGACGTGCGCTAGGAACTAGACTTTGGAGAGGAGGAACACATTGGCCATCAGAGATCGACCCTGGGGGGTGATGTGCCACCGGTTCCAGCTGGCAATCCTGGAGTTAACTGCTGCGAGGAGCAAGTCCTCATTGTATTTTAGCGCAACTCCTTGTTGGTTGGTGAGAACGCCCAGGTGACGGAAGGTACCGCGCTCAGGTTCAATACCAAATGGTGGGGGGAAGGTGGGGGAGCCAACCTGTATGACTGTTGTCTTGGAGGTGTTGACCATGGCGTTGGACGCCTTGGTGTACCTCTCAATGGTCACAGCAGCGAGGGCAACATCCCCAGGGCAGCCGAATGCAATGGCAGTGTCATCTGCAAATGCCATGGTGCGTGTGGGGCTTTACCTGGGACCAGAATCCCTGTTAGCTTGTCCTGTAAGGAGGCCAAGAGGGGGTCAAGGGTGATGTTAAAAAGGATAGGGCTCAGGGGGTCCCCTTGCTGGAGACCTTGTCCAACTGGTACTGCCACTGTAAAACCCATTGACGCCAGGACTCTGGTGTGGAGCTGGTCATAGAGCGCTGATATCCAGCGCCTAGCTGCGGGTGGGAGATGGAAGCGGGCCAGGGAAGCATCAATATACTTCCAGGCTACCTGATCATATGCTTTCTCCATATCCAGGAGAGCCACAAAGCCATTCACCTTACGAGAGTTAGCAGTCAAAGTCACGTGAAGGTCATTATAGTTGTCTCATAACGACTTTCCGGAATAAAACCGTGCTGGGATGGGGAGAGGCGAGGTGACACCCATTTGGTGATGCGGTTGGCCAGAAGCTTCGTGAAGAGCTTGTGGTCTGTGTTGATCAACGCTATGGGGCGCCAGTTCTCCAGGTTCTCACTGTCTGACTTCTTGTGAATGAGGGTCGTGATTGAGCCTTTGGGGTCAGGGAGGACCTCGCCATTCACCAAGAGTGCAGCGAAGAGGTCGTGGAGGGTTCTGGCTATCACTGCAGGTTCCAGAAGGTACACCTCGAAGGGTATTCCGTCTGGGCCTGGGGCTTTAAGCCGTGGGGAGTTCAGAAGGGTTTCCATCACCTCCTGGATGGAAATAGGCGCCAGTAGAGCCTCAACAGCCCGTGGGTCAATGGGAGGCTCTGGAGCCCGCCACAGGAAGTCTTGGATGTCCGATGGGTCCACCTGGGTGGCATGGAAGAGGCTGGAGTAGAAGCGGTGTAGTTCCTGCGTGATTTCCTCCTTATCTGAAGTGGTTGTAGTGCCAATCTTCAGTGCAGTAATATCCTGCGCTGTTGACCGGGATTTCTGTTTCTGAAAGAAGAAGCGGGTGGGGCGTTCCCATTGAGCATAGTAACGAGATGTTGTAAAGTTTGCTGCCCGTTCTTCCTGCAGTGTGAGCTCCAAGCGGAGTGCTTCCTGCGCCGCTTCCCAGTCTTCCAACCATCTGGGAGAGGGCGAAGGCTGGCAGTTTCGCTCTAGATGTCTGATTCTGGCTTCAGCCCTTTTGACTCTGGCGCGAGATGCAGTCATCTGGGCTTTGGCACAGTTGTAAGCAACGCGGGTGATGCCCTCCTTGGTCACCGCCCATCTAGCCTTGTGGTCAAGCAGGTGGGGTGGGGGGAGGTGAGAGTCTCCCAGATGGTCATAGACAGCTTCTCCTTAGTGAGGGGTTGTTGAGAAGAGCTGGGGCAACCCTAGGCCAGAACCTACGCGACGGTCTAAGTGTGGTGGTGAGGACAACGGTGAGTGACCTGTGATCACTCAGATGGTTGTCACGAAGAATGGGAGAGGAGACGCGGCCAATTAGCAGGGGGCCAATCAGTGCCATATTTATGCGTGACGCTGACTGGAAAGCTCCTCCATCATACTGGATCCTAGTCATGCAACCTAGGCCAGACGCGGAAGGTGGAAGCGCATCTATAAAGCCACTCAGGCGAAGGAAATCCTGGAGGCGACTTGATCCAGGGCGTTCCTTTGCTGCAGGGGGTAAGAGTCACGGACGCAACTTATGGTTGTGTTGAAATCTCCTAAGAGGACTGTATTCCGTGGGAGATTGAGTTGGACGAGCTCTTCCAAGAGCCAATTTTGCTCCTGACCTGCATTAGGCAGGTAGATGCTTGCAGCGAAGAAGGAGAAGTCAGGAGTGGTGAGTTTGGCCAGTATGAGGCGGCCACCTAGATATTGTGAAAAAGAACGGGTTTTAACCTGGGGAATCAAAACAATAAGGGCGGCATGGTTTGTCCAGAAGAAGTTGCCTCCAAACTGTTCATTCCATGCAGATTGTTCGTGGGGGAGGATATGGGGCTCCTGGACAGCAGCGATGTCAATTTGTGCTGACCTGAAGTTTCAGAGGAGGCGGGCTCTCCGCTTAAAGTCCCGCAACCCATTTGCGTTGATGGATTGCAGGGCCAGGGTGCTGCCATGGGGACTCATAGCTGTTCCCCTCCATGTCCTGGGGGTTGCCAGCGCTTAAACCTGCTGCTGTGAGGCGGCTAGTTTTGAGTCCTTTAGCTTGACTATTAGCTGTAATCTGTCAGGAGCGTCGAGGGTTCTGAGGGGAAGGAGAGGGTGGGGGGCGGAGGACCCAGTAAGCCAGCCTAGGATGCTGCCCCCGCTCCGTTGCAGGGGAAGGACCTGAGGGTGCTCAATGGTGACCTCCGCGGTGTCCCCATTTGATGAGTCTGAGTCCATATTCACTTCCTCCAACACTGCAAAGGATCCGCGTGAAATGGACTGTGGGGTTGGGGTAGGACTCTTTGAGGTGGCACTTCTACCGCAGGCCGCGGGTTGCCAGTCCATGCTGGTGGGCATAGCTCCATTGGGAGCTGAGGGTTGATGCGATAAATTGCTGGTGGAGGTTGGTGGGGGTTCCGCGGAGCCCTGAGTGGGGGTGGCTGACGAGGGGCACCCTGTGGGAGATGCCTTGCGCTTGGTGAGAGAGGGATTTGACTCTGGGAGATTG